TAGCAGGTGATTCATTTTAGGAGTTGCGTAAGAATGACCACACTGGGTCAGACCAATGGTCCATCTAAACCAGTATCCTGACTTCCGACAGTGGCCGATGCCAGATGCTTCGGAGGGAATGAACAGAACAGGGCAATTATCGAGTATTCCATCCCCTGTACAGCCCCAGCTTCTGGCCGTCAGGCTTAGGGACACCCAGAGCATGGGGTTGCATCCCTGACCATCCTGGCTAATAGCCCCCCTGGTGGACCTATCCTCCACGAACTTACCTCATTCTTTTTTGAACCCAATTATATTTTTGGCCTTCACAACATCTCCTGGGAACAAGTTCCACAGGTTGGCTGTGTTTGTTTTTAAACCTGCTGCTTATTCATTTCATTGGATTAACCCTGTTTCTTATTTACTCTTTCACATAACACACTTTGCTATTCACTTTCTCTACACCATTTATGATTTTATATACCTCTATCCTATCCCCCTTAGTTGGCTCTTTTTTAAAGATGAATAGTCCTAGTCTTTTAAATCTTTCCTTGTATGGCAGCTGTTCCATACCCCCTAATGACTTTTCTTGCTCTTCTCTGTATGTTTTCCAATTATACTTTTTTTTTTTGAGAATACTGCAACCAGAGTTACATGCAGTATTCCAGGGGTGGGCGTACCATGGATTTATATAGTGGCTTTGATATTTTCTGTTTTATTATCTATCTTTCCTAATGGTTCCTAGCATTCTGTTAGCTTCATTGACTGCTGCTGCATTTTGACTAGATATTTTCTGAGAACTATCCACAATGACGCCAAGACCTGTTTCTTGAGTGGGGAAAAACGTAATGCCAACTATACATACAAAATGATGGGGTCTATATTACTTGTTGCCAATGTGCATTACTTTTTCTGTCTACATTGAATTTGATCTGCCATTTTCTTGCCTAGTGACCCAGTTTTGTGAAATCCCTTTATAACTTTTTGCAGTCAGTAATTTTGTTTCATCTGCAAACTTTGCCACCCCACTGTTTACACCTTTTTCCAGGTGGCTTATGAATATATTGAACAACACTAGTGATAGGAGCCCTGCAGTTTTTGACATCAGGTGTCTTTGAAAAAGGGCGGGTCCAGTCACAATGGCTATTGAAGCATAGTACCTAATACATTTGACCTCTCAAATTGGTAACTCCTTATTCCCACCACAGTCACTGTTTAAAATTTGCCTGATTCCTGTGCACATTTGTTTAGGAAGAGGGGAGCAAATGCTGTTTTTTGTCTCAGAAGGCCTGTAACAGAATGGTTTGGGCAGAAATGTGCACGTTACAGGGGTGGGGACGCAAGTAGATATTAAATGGCAGTGGGACACTGTGGAAGGCGTCAGGACAGAAATCTAGTTTTTTTTTGTTTTAAACCAAACATGACTAGATATGCTGCTATTATTACTAGTGTTACAATAGTGCAAGTAAACCAAGAATATCAATAGTGAGTAGAATCAATAAGAGGATATTAGAAATGCAGCTAGTTACTTTCAGTGATTTGTGACACTGTTCCTGTTTAAAAGGATCACTGACCATACCTGTCTCTCTGTACAACTGGACCCCATTTTCTGTCTGTCTGGCCTTATCAAACAGAGATGCAGACCTCATGCACAGCTGGCTTTAGTTGGATTCCATGTGGCTGGAAGGGGCCTTGATCAGCTCTGACCTCTCCAGAAGGTGGCACTGCAGTCAGTGGGAAGTGACAGTTCTTGGCAGTTCGAGAACACTAATGATCGGCAGCTTGCATTCTCAGAGCACTGCTTGCTCACTAACCACCCCTCCCAAATCCTCAGTGGGTACCTAACAGTCATCCCCTGCTCTCCACGCTGCCAGCTTGAGTGGCTAGGCAAAAAGGATGGGTGGAAACTGAACGTAAACGGTCCTCTTCAAAACTGTCCCACTGTCCTAGTGTAGACAGAGCCTCTGAGCGACTCTGGTAGGGTAAGGAGTGGGGTGAGCTTGGCTCTCAGGGCCATATCTGAGGAATAAGCAGATGCATTCTGTTCTGTGTAGCTTCCTTTCTGGAGGGGTTAGCGATTTGTAGTCAAGACGCTGAGGAGTAGTCTGTGCAGATGCAGTTCAGCCATAGGTTTCAAACCCTCCCTCCTGTAGGAGCGTGTTCTTGCTGAGAGCTGTGGCGAGTCTGCTTCGTCTAGCTATGGCCTAACTTTGCAACCATTACCCAGGGCAACGTGTGGGAGCCGTCCCATTGAAGTCAGTTGGACTGCTCCTGTGTGGAAGTGCTGCTTGGCATAAGTAAGTGTCGCACAATGGGGCGGAGGGGGTGGGGCCTGTTACAGAGAACTGCTACAGAAAAATGAAAGGGGTTTGCAGACGTTGGCCATCGGTTTTAGCGCAAGCGGGAGGGCTGACTTGAGCTGCCTTGATTCACACCTGCTGTGTTTGTGTAAGATAACTTGAAGGTGCCTGGGAGCCTTGCTGCTGCCCTGTTTGCAGAAACCAGACCTGGCTGATTCTCTGCAGACGTGGAGGGCTCATGGTGAGATATGAAAGAGCCAGCAAAGTCCCTCTCCAGATGGGGGTTATGCAGCTGGTAATCCAGCGTGTGTGTGTGTATATTTAAAAAAAAAAAAAAAAAACACTTGTGGGGTGTAGTGTTTTTTTTTTTTTTTTTTGTATGTTATAGGCCAAAGGTATAATTCTAGCCCTGGAGTGAAGTATTGACTTGGTGGCCCTGGGGACCAAAGTCCTCTAGTTATATGCAGGAGAGCAGACTTCTCCCCCACCCCTCTGCACTTCAGTTTGGATGGGGTGTCTGTGTGTGAAATGTGTGTCTGTCTCTTGGAGGGGGTGAGTTTGCAGGTGAGGGAAGGGGCTATTTGAAGCAGTTGCCTTTTCAGAAAGGGGAAAAATGGGGTCTGGCTGTTGCTAATGAAGCGGCTTTGTTTACTGCAGAACCTGCGGTGGGGTCCCTGACTGGCAGACTAACCTGGCTTCTCTTTAAATCCTAACGTGCTCTGTTTTGAAACTGCATCCATCCTCCAAGGTTTGACTCAAGTTCTCGTCCTGCCGGGGCTCCCGGGAGAGGAGCACCAGAGCAGTCTTTGCTCAGGGGTGACTCTGGATGCAGGCTTCAAAGCTTGCTAGGGCTGGTTCAGGGTCCCTGGGATGACTGGGGTTCTACTGCATTGGACCCCTAAATCTTATAACCCTGCTGCCCGCCCCGACGCCCGTGACGAGAGCTCTGTCCCTCTGTCGTGTCTTGCAGAGCTGTAATGGCAAGGCGCTGCTGGAAGAAGCTGAGCCGAGGGGCCTGACGGACACTCTGGTGCTGAATGGCAGGAAGGTGGATGAGCGGCAGGGCCTGCCTGCCATGGCCCACAGCCAGCTGGAGGGATCGAACAAGGAGGCAGCGCTGCGACTCCTCAGCGTGGGGCTGGAGCAGCGCCCCCCTCTGCATTCGGCCTACATCCCGGTGCCCAGGCAGAGGTAGGCGCTTTGCTGCTGGGGTGGGGAGGGGTGTGGGGGGTTGAGAAGGTGAGTAACTTGGTGTCTCCCAGCCTCATGCAGGGGATAAGTGCAAGTCCTACTGCCTCCTATCAGAGTAGGGCTGGGCAAGGTGTATCCCTTGGGCTTTAGGGGGCGGGATGGCCTGGCGGGTGGAGGAGCATCTGTTTCTTCCCTGCATCACAGCAGCCTTCCCTCCCAGAGGAGTTGCGAAGCATGATGGGAGCTGCTCCTTCCCCTCGTGCTATTCCCAGCCCAGCCTGCAGGGAGCGCTCTCCCCTCCTGACCTCCAGGGGCTGCTTGTGCCTCAAGCAACGAGGGACCGAGTCTCGCTCTAATCCTACAGTCTGTCACCGAGAGCCTCCATCTTCGTGTGATGCACCAAAACCAACATATTCTCCCCACCCCGGCTGATTGTGCTGCCTGGGTAGGGAACTTGGCTGGATCCCACTTGTTGCCTCCTCCTGTGCTAAAAGTGCTGGGGTGTCTGCCCCACATGGCTTGGCTTGGGCAGTGGGGAAATCTTCCAGGAGAGGGTGTATTTAAAAAATCCTACTGACAAATAGCTTTTTCTCCCCCTGCAAGGGTGAACCTGAGATGCCAAGACCCTGCTGCATTGGATGTTGTGGCTGAGGACAGGAGAACCTGCAGGGCAGGTCCTTTCTTTGGGGGGGGGGGGGGTGTTATTTGCACAGGTTTGAACCATGGGAAGGCGTATCCCTAATGATCAGTCCTGGCTGGTTGAATGGTGTGGGATGATGGATTGTGCTGCATTGGGGAGCTCAGGATCCAAGCACTGGGAGGGCACCAGGGGCAGCCTAAGTGTTGGGGGTTGGCAGGTTCAGGAGAGAACCATATCTGTTCCTCCTTAGCTAAATCGCTCTGTCTTGGGTACTTGTATGGCCCGCCTCGCTGTGGTCCCTGAAACAGAGTTGCCGTAGTGATGAAACTGGTGGACATGAATGGCCCCTCTCTCTGCCACATGGTGACGTGTTTTTCCCATGGGAATCCCTTGGACTTGCTGGATTCTGTGTCCCTGTGGGGGACACCAGCTTCTCCGGAGAAAGCAGCATTGGAATGTCTTGTGCCAGGGTTTGTGCTAGTTGTGTCCAGGAGGGATTTTGTGCAGCAGGAGGTGGGAGAGTGTAAATGGGCGTGAGTGAGGCCTGGAGAGGAGGCTGAAGCCAGTATGTTTCTGACCTGATTTAAGCAAAACGGCAGATGTCATTCCTTGGGAAAAGGTAATTATTTTGCCTGATGTGTCTACTGGCTTGGGAAGGGCGGGGCGCGTGGGTGCTGGCACAAACCGATCCACTAGTTGTGGATTCTTGCATTCAAGCATCGGTATGGATCTAGTGCAGAGTGTCCCTTCTCATTCTGTCCCAGTCCTATCCGTAGGCAGCTACTGTGTCGCCTGGAGGCGTTAGCCTAATGTGGGCTTGCGGGCTAGTGATGGGGCTCCTAGCAGCGCTTGACTCTCTGAGTCAGACATGCTGCATGTTGACATGCCACTTAACTCCACACAGCATCTGTGCTGGGGAAACACCAGGCTAAAAATAAACCAAATGGTGAGGCAATCATGTATTTATAATCTTCTTAGATTTCAGGATAGAGGCTCTCTGTTCGCCTTGTGCTCTGCCTGAGTTTAAAAAGGCAATGGAAGGGGAGGAATCCGCTTCCCTCCTTGGGCAGGGATCTGCTACTAGTTCTGTAAGGTGGATGCAGGCAGAGTGACGCCTAGTGGAGAGGACCGAATAAACCAGATGTTGCTGTTTTGGCCTAGGGAATCTGCAGTTGTGACTTATCAGAGTGGGGAAATTTGGAGGATTCAGGTCTGGATAACTCAGTCCAACATGAGCTCCCAGTGTAATGCCGTGGCCAAAAGAGCTAGTGAGATCCTTAGATGTATAAACAGGGGGATATCGGGTAGTAGAGAGCTTATGCTACCTCTGTATCTGGAACAACCACTGCTAGAATGCTGTGTCCAGTTCTGGTGTGTCCAGTTCAAGAAGGATGTTGATAAATATGAGAAGGTTCAAAGAAGAGCCACAAGAAAGATCAGAGGATTATTAGGCATGTTTCCCAATGAGACTCCAAGAGCTTAATCTGTTTTGCCTAACAAAGAAGGTTAAGGGTGGGACTTGATCACAGTCTGTAAGTACCTTCATGGGGGAACAAAACATTGATAATGGGCTCTTCGGTCTAGCAGACAAAGGTTTAAAAAGATCCAGTGGCAGTTAGTTGAAGCTAGACTGATTCAGTCAGGAAATAAGGCATACGTTTTTAACAGTGAGAGTAATTAATCCTTGGAACAGCTCACCAAGGGTTATGTTGGATTCTCTACTATTTTTAAAATCAAGACTGATGCTTTTCTAAAAGATCTGCTCTGGTTCAAACAGGAATTAATTGAGGGAAGTCGGTTACATTAGATTACGCTATACAGGCGGTTAGACTAGATTATCACAGTGGTCCCTTCTAGCCTCATAATCTCTGCGACTGAAGACTTTTAAACCACAGATGGTGTTGGAAGAAAGGGAAAACTCAGATTCCTGCACCCCAGGGTATGAAGTGAGGGCAAGGAAACTGCATGTAACAAGGTACTCGAGACAAAATCCTTTCGGGTACTTGGCCTAAGCTTTTCTGTCCTGTTCAGAATAGAGGCCATCACTAGAGGCAGGCTCTCATTTCCCATTCCACATCACCTCTGTGAGGGTGAATGCTCTGTTTGAGCTGAACCTAAAGATGGGATGTCAGATCTGTAGCAGACGGGTGTCTAACACCAGCCGAAATAGCTTGTCTGTTTTCCGGTTGGCTTGTTCTTGAGGGGTCTGGCCTTCTCATAGACTTTAAGACCAGAAGGGATCATCGTAGGATGGGAAGAGACCTTGAGGATATCTAGTCCAGTCCCCCACACTCATGGCAGGACTAAGTATTATCTAGACCATCCCTGACAGGTGTTTGTCTAACCTGCTCTTAAAAATCTACAGTGATGGAGATTCCACAACCTCCCTAGGCAAGTTATTCCAGTGCTTAACCACCCTGACAGGAAGCTTTTTCCTAATGTCCAACCTAAACCGCCCGTGCTGCAATTTAAGGCCATTGCTTCTTGACCTGTTCTCAGAGGTTAACAAGAACTATTTATCTCCCTCCTCCTTGTAACAACCTTTTATGTACCTCAACACTGTTATCCTGTCCCCCCTCAGTCTTCTCTTCTCCAGACTAAATAAACTCAATTTTTTCAATCTTCCCTCAGAGGTCATGTTTTCTAGACCTTTAATCATTTTTGTTCTTTTCTGGACTTTCTCCAATTTGTTCATGATCATCTAGTCTGACCTCCTGTATGGCGCAGGTCACAGAACCTCACCCACCCACTCCTATAGTAGGCCCGTAATAGTAGGTCTGGTTGAGTTACTGAAGTCCTCCAATCTTGATTTAAAGACTCTGAAGTTACAGAGAATCCACCATTTACTCTAGTTCAGACCAGTAAGTGACTTGTGCCCCATGCTGCAGAGGAAGATTAAAAGCCCCCAGGATCTCTGCCAATATGATCTGGGGGAAAATTCCTTCCTGATCCCAAACATGGCAGTCAGTTAAACCCTGAGCACGTGGGCAAGACCCACCAATCAGACACTGGGGAAGAATTCTCCGTAGGGTAACAGCCCTTCCCATCTAGTGTTCTACTTTCAGCCGTTGGAGATATTTGCTAATAACAGTTGTGGATGAGCCGTATGCCATTGTAGCTAATCTCATCATTCCATCCCCTCCATAAACTTATCAAGGTCAGTCTTAAAACAAGTTAGTTTTAGGTCTATTGCCCCCACTCCCCTTGGAAGGCTGTTCCAAAACTTTACTCCTCTGATGGCTAGCAATGTTCATCTAACTTCAAGCCTAAATTTATTGCTGGCCAGTTTATATCCATTTTTTGTGCCAACATTGGCCCTTAACTTAAATAACGCCTCTCCCTTTCTGGTGTTTATTCCTCTGATGTATTTATAGAGAGCAATTGTATCTCCCCATAGCCTTCATTTTGTTAGGCTGTACAAGCCAAGCTCCGTGAGTCTCCTCTTGTACTGTAGGTTCTCTATTCCTCTGATCATCCTAATAGCCCTTCTCTGTACCATTCCAGTTTGAATTCATCTTTCTTAAACATGGGAGACCAGAATTGCACACAGTATTCCAGATGAGGTCTCACTAGTGCCTTGTATAATGGTAATAACACTTCCCTATCTCTACTGAAAATACCTCACCTGATGTATCCTAGGATTGCATTAGCCTTGACCCCTGCGATTTCCCCAAATGCGGGAAACTTGACTGCATAATTTGTGGTAGTGGGGGACTGCGTTCGCGCTCTCCCCTGGGGGGGGGGAGAGGGGAAATTAGCCTTTTTCATGGCCACGTTACTTTGGCAGCTCATCGTCATCTGCTCAACTAATACCCCCAGATCTTTCTCCTCTGTTGCTTCCAACTGGGTAGGTCCTCCGCTTAGAGCAAAAATTCTTGTTGTTAGTCCCTAAGTGCATGACTTTGCACTATTAAATTTCATCCCATTTCTATTGCTCCAGTTTTCAAGGTCATCTAAATCTGGTATATTCTGGTCCTCCTCCATATTGGTAAGACCTCCCACCTTCATCGTCCACAGATGATATTAGCACGCTCCCAAGGTCATTAATGAAAATGTTAAATAAGATTGGTCCCAAGACTTATTCTTGAGGAACTCCACTGGTAACCTCCCTCCAGCCTGATAATTCACCTTTCAGTATGACCCGCTGTACTCTTCTCTTTAACCAATTCCGTCACCACCTTTCAGTTCTCCTATTAATCCCTAACTTCTGCAATTTAACTAATAATTTCCAATGCAGAACTGTATCAAATGCTTTACTGAAATTCAGGTAGATTAGATTTACTGCATTTCCTTTGTATAGAAAATTGGTTATCTTCTCAAAGAAAGAGTCAGGTTGATCTGGTATGATCTGCCTTTTGTA